ACTTGTGTTGCATGTCGCAATGTCACTGTATTGTTTTCACATAATTGAAAACATATTTTTTTAAAAGAGTAACAATGGAGTTTGTTGCTCGTTGTTCTTCAATCTATTAGGACGAGTATTAAACTGAGCACGGATAGGCTGACAGACTTTATTTGTTGACATTTCAAAATTATTTATAATATTTGAAATATAAAAAATTCAAGTTTTTTAAATAAAAATATGGTTGTTGTGCCTTTCTCGACATAGATAGGTATAGTGCGACGCGGACTTTTTGGAAGAGTAAAACGGGGTGAATAGAATTCGAGGGGTGAATAGATACAGAAGAGGGGTGAATATTTAAGTGATAAGTGTAATACTGTTGGGAAAACAGTCTGACACTTATCCACCCCATTCCTGTATCTATTCACCCCGTTTTACGGTATCTATAAGATCTACAATTAATTAGAACATTATATGGTTTTGGCAGTGTACGCAAAATAACTAACTTTTCTAGTAGATTCTTTACACCTTGTGTCCGAAAATCCCAAATATATTACGGAACCCTATTCTTTTCCAAAATTAAATAAAGCCTATGTTACTCGTGGATGACGTAGCTTTCGAAAGGTGGAAGAAATGTTAAAATCGGTCCAGTAGTTTTTGAGCCCATGCAATACAACTAAACAAACAAAGATTTCGTCTTTATAATATGAGTGTAAGCGTAGACAGTAAAGAAGAGTAGATACATACTATTATATTGCCTATAAGTACTTGTTAAAATTATGTTTAATCAACTCGAAGTTTAACCGAAAATCGAAATCGTCATCATCATCATCATCATATTAGGATGACGAAAATGATGATGATGATTTCGAGTTTCGGTTCGTATTGTTGACCATAAGAACCACCATCCAACTGGATCACCTGTAGGTCTACTCTGATTCGACAAAAAACGAAGATTCGTCCGAAACTTAGATCAAGATAGTTTATTTGCAAATTGGGGAATACAATGATATGTGGTGTTTAGGTATGCAAATATGAATTAACAAAGTATTTAAAAAGAAAATTTTAAAAATTTTAATTATATATAAGAAAATTATTATTATGCTATTTACTTATTAAATTGAACATAGGCTTTAAAATATTACATCAAAGTCATATTAAGGTGCTCCCCACCGGGAGCATTCGCGTGTAACAGATCTGAGCATTACATCAGTGAAGGAGGATAACCGAACCTTACAATGCGCACCTTGTAATGATACAAAACTGGTATATATCAGTGAAGGAGGAGAACCAAGCATTACAATGCGCACCTTCTAATGATACAATGTGTAATATCTTGATACAACTTGTAACATCAATGCGATCCACTTCCCCCAGCCCCCCGCCCACCCGCTCTAAAGCCTCCGTGACAGAAAAGTGAACGCACATTGTCATATAGTGTTTCAGATGCTCCGGAGATCCTCGTTGTTATATTACACGCAAATGCTCGCTAGTCAGGGAGGTATTATTGTAATGTAATGCTCAAAGTCGAATCTATAATGTTACATTACACGTGAATGTTCCCGGTGAAGGAGCACCTTTAACAGAATATGGGTACAATGTCAAAAGATCATGGTTAAGAAATATCATAATAAAATAGATGAAATGTCCAAGATATGTAGTAATTCAAATATTATGCTATTCTATTGTCCATTACAAAATCATAAGTAACATTGTAATATGCTTTGTCAACTAATAATTTTCGCAATTTGTTTTTTAATAATAACATACTGAAATCTCTCCAGGATTTAGGTAATTTATTATATTTTTAGGTGCCATGCAACAGACACTTTTGCTCATTAGTGTTGATGACTATCGTCTCGTCTGCTTCGTGCTACTACGTCGTTCATTTTTTTTAAATGTTATGGATTTGACTTGACAAACCTAGACATTTCCATTATATAAATACTCGGTAATGCTAAAATTTTGTATTCTTTAAAATACGGGTAACAACAATCTGTAGTGTCTAGTTTATACATTGAGCGAATGCACCTTTTTTGGGCCTTGAATGCATCTTTGTCGGTTGGGTTACCACATAATATAACCCCGTAACGAAGATGGGATTCAGCTAAACCTTAGTAGGCTGTAAGAAGGGCTTTCTTGGAAACCTTGAACGAGATGCATACCGACGTGGTGGCGTTTTTGTACAAGTACTTCAAAATCTCGATGTGCCTATCGATAGCAGTCAATATGGCACCCAAGTCTCGATCAAACCAAAGGCCTTCCCATAGTGCACAAACGGCAACCATTTCATTTTTACGCTTACTACCAGGCGAGATAGTCGTCAAACGTCGACCCCTCATATAAAAAAATATATATCTTTTTGTTGACGGGTCAGGACGGACTTCAAAAGGTGCCTAGCTTTCTGGGAAAAACACCAGGGAGTGTGGGATTTTTACCTCACTAAAACCTCCCCGGTATCCACCATCCGCACTTTAAGGAGGCACCGGGTCCTCTTGGTACACAAGTCCCGGAGCCCCCACGGTGTAACACCTGTTACTACACCTCCTTATATCTTATATCGTGTCTTTATAACTTTGTCCTTATATCTTGTCTTCCTAGAGACTCTCTGTGCAGTGCACGGCGGCACGTAACCACTGTGCCGCCATCTTACGTGAGGTCATTAAGTGGGCGCCTAGATTCCCTACTCTATGCGCCCATGACCCTAAAGGTTTACCTGCCAATATTAGACAGGGTATTCACAGGTTTCGCCTGATCTTGGCAACCAGGGCCCGCTATTCAGAGGCCCATGCTGAGCACTCCTCGAGCGTGTGCAATCCAAGTTGCTCCACAGTGGTGGCAATTTGCCTTTAGGAGATGTACTCCTCTCTCTACAGCCAGGCTTCAAAATCCGGCACAATAGCTTCGACACCCTACCGCCGTTTCGGCGGATAGAGTAAATTTGGTCATAGACTTTCGCATCCATATCCACCAGGATATCCAACGGCGGAAAACCAGTAACCGGTGGCGTCTGCATAACACACAAGGTGGGTGCCAGCGGGAAAATCGACATGAAAGACCGCACAAACGCCAACCATGGCGGCAAGTTATATTCCAAGGTCTTCTGTATAACTTGCCGCAGCGTATGGTTGTGGTCTATGGTACTATAGCCTTTTCGGAAACCGGCTTGTTCGGGACGCTAGAAATCATCAAAACTACATGCGAGGTGATTCGCGATGACCCTCAAAAACAGCTTGTAGCCATGGCTCGAAAGTGAAATGGGATTTTTGAAGATCAAAACCATCACACTTTTGTTCCATGACTTCGGCGTTACTCCTTCGAATACGATGGAGTTGAAGAGCTTCTGAAAAACTCTCAGTAGCGGTGTTATGCCCGCTTTCAGAATTATATTCTCATCTGTTATAGGTCCGGATAATTTCGGTATAGTGTCGGGTTAGCTCTTGGGTCTGCGACTGAGCTTACAGGTTTGGTGACCGATGCGTATAACTGCCCATAAAACCTTTCGATCTCCCCAAAACTTCGGCTTTCGTGAACGCTATACAACCATTCTCCGTCTTCAGCTCCGTCAGCTAGCTTTGCCCAATAGACATGTCCCTTGTGAACACTTTTGAGTTTTGATTCTGCTCTATAGCTTCTTTAACCCTGATCGTGTTAATGTTGCGAGTTTCATGTCGCAGAGACTTTCACATCTGTCTATTAAGCTGCCGATGTGCTTTAGCATCGGCGGAGGTCTGACTGAAGCATGCGCAGAGTAATAGTACGTCGTTCTGCCATGAGTTTGAGGATGTAATCGGTAAATTTGTGCGGCCTGTCTTCTCGACGGGGTCTAAATACCTTCGAGCCGACAGACACTTGGACAGTTTCTATGAAACCTTTACTAATTTCGTCCACTGAGTCACAATTGTCCAGGTACTCGAAGCGATTCGACAGCTCGATCTGAAAGTTAGTGAGGCAACCGATATGTGCATTTGAGCGCCGGAGCGTAAACTTCATCTAGTGGGATCTTTTCAATTTGATATTTAATGTGCCTCTAAACAGATGGTGATAGCTGCCGGTTTTTACCCAATGGCTCACAGAAACATCATTGAATATTTGACGTTTCTGGTCTAGATGAAGTCGATATAAATTTTTAGTGGCATCGGCTGGGCTCATCCAGGTCCATTTCCTATGAGATGGCTTCTGGAAAAACGAATTCATCATAAAGAGGTCCTCTTTTTCCAGATATATGGCCAGCCTCTGTCCTCTGGGATTCCGTTGCCCATTTTCAAATTGCCCCACTCTCAGTTCTTTATCGCCTCGAGTTCCCAGTTTCGCGTCGAAGTCCCGCATTGAATTAGGTTATATTGGTATGCATAAACCTATTAATGTCCTCATACACAACCTCTATACCCCAACTGGGTGAGTCGAACTCGGTGCATAAAACTGGAAGATCTTCAAAGTGAATCTGTTGTATACCCTGCTCGACACACTTCTGGTGGTAACAATGTTGTTGATGAGGAACTTGTGGACGAAGAACCCGACACCACCTTGGGACATTGGTCGCCTTCCCGGTATTGGAGTAGGTTGCTGGATTTTAGGGTGTGTACTCGCCCTCTCATCGGACTTTTCACAACCTCATTATACTCCACTGCAACCTACCCAATTCCTCTTCCAGCCAGACAGGCCGGCGGGCGCAGTTAGATCACCGACAATTGTATCAGGAATGTTGATGCCCAATTCTCGGTGTCTGGTCGCAGTTTTAGGACGTACCCGGGTCCAAATATGAGGATAATCGAATAAAAGAGATAAATCGATAAAGTTTATGTGCAGTTGCACAATTAACAAAAGAAGAATTGGTTGCGTAATGATTTGAGATTAAGAGTTTAGTTTGAGTCTGTCACTAGATCAAAGATGGTGATTAAGTGTAATAACGTAGTTCAAAATGTATCGTAACGTAATCAAGTACCACGCCCTTTTCGAGAAATTGTAACATGTATAAAGATGCTATTAAAATTATAAAATATTAAATACTAGGTACTTACACTAGTTCGACAGCTCCGCATGCGTTCCTGAAATTTGGATTCTCTCCGAGGTATAACTCGGGCAAATGTAGTTCGTCGGCAGGTGCGTCATACTTCAGTTTCACTATCTTTTCTTCCAGCAAACGGTATGACTTGTCGAACTCGGCTGAGAACAAAGAAAAATGAATTAAAAACTAATAAAACAGTGTTCCTGAAATATTTTACACGTGGAGTTATACCACGGCCTCATGGAAAACCGGCGCCATATAACGGTGTGTTTTGCCATGTGAGTGAGGCGACTGATGGCCCGAACTCCTGCCCGTCCCCTGTTCCCAAATCTTCAAAAGGCTGGCAACGCAACTTGTAACTTTCAAGTTGAATTGTTACGGGTGTTCATGGGCGGCGTTGATTGCTTACCATCATTCGGCATTCCGTCTGTTCGTTAATTTATTTATTTATTTATACAGGATAACCAACAACCGACTGCCTCATTGGCAGAGTGGTCGATTCCCGAGTTGGGCAAAGTACTATTGAGTATTTTCAAAAAAATCTCAGTAGTAGCACGGAGTCTAGAAATGTGCCTGGTATATGGCAATAGGCTCACCCCTTATTACATGAGGCTCATAACATAAAAGTGGGTGTTACATTGTACAGTGGCAGTAAGTTCCGTAATGTGCACCTCTGCCAACCCCTTTGGAGATAAAAGGCGTGATGTTATATTGCATGTGAAAACCAACAGCTATATATAGCTATATACAGCTATATATAGTAAACACCGGTTTATTGTCTTATTTATCACATTGTCTCGGTTTATTTCGGGATCGGACATAATACCATTCTTGGGTATTTTTGGATTTCTAAATTGTCAGCACGAAGTCTGGAACTGCGCTTGGTATATGACACCGTAATATTTTAGAACTCATAACATAACTGGGCGTAACTGAATTCATAGCATTCCCTTCTTCTAACATACACATCACACCCAGACCCGGAACAACAATTTGTGGATAACATTGAGATCTCCCAGACGAGAATCGGACCCGCCACACGTTGCACGCAGCCATTTGCCCAGCCACTAGACTAGCCGTGCAGTCAAAGTAACGCTTGCGTCGTTTCCCGCAGAAGTCAAAGTACTTGAGGCCCATTGAATCTTGGAATCCTAAACTCCCTACCCTGAAAGGCCGGCAACACTCTTGAAAATCCCCCGGAGTCCATGGGCGGTCCAGATTGCTTACCATCAGGTTCATTTACTCGTTTGGTATAGAGCGACTATACCATAAAAAATGTCATATATAGATACCTTTAGATATGCCTCTGAGTTTGATCCTCCCGTTGTGCCTGACCGCTTGTTTCATGGCTTCAATGCAGTTTTGTCTCTGGCCCATTTCTAGAAAGCACTCGGCGCGACGCAAGTACAGTTTGTGCTGAAGATCCGGCGGGTATTGGTGGTTCAGAGCGCGTTGGACATCTCTCAAACTCTCCTGTGAGAAGAATAATATGTTAAAGTAATAATATTAAAATATGTAACTGATTATAACGCCTTTCGGGGTAGTATATAAAGTAAAACTGAGGATTTTATAAACCGATAATACTAAATAGTGGTTAGCCAGGCATGGGAATCGATTCCAGTGGCTTCTCGACTAACTAGCAAAGAATATATAAAGTTATCCTTTTTTTTTTTTTTTTTTTGAGGGGGGAAAATCATCCAATGACTTCTCCCGCCCGGGTGAGGCGGGAGGGAGTGTCAGACTCTTACTGACTAAAAACCACCCCGTTCCTACTCCTGCACTTCGAGCCGGAGCCCCGGCAACCCGTTAAGTCTTCCGCGGCTCCGTATCGGCATCAGCCCTGTTAGGCCCCATCTGTGGTGGTCTGATGGCTCCTTGAGGCGCGCGCGGAACGCGACGCGCCGTACGCTCGGGCCTGGTTCTGGTCGGGCGGCGAGTCACCCGTGCTCGCCGTCCGCAGGCCCGTGCTTACGGTGGCCGGAGATCGTCTCGCGATCCCCGACGCCCGGAGTGTCTCTCGCGACGGCCGGGTCGTGAGGAGGTTCGTTCCCTCACGCGCTCCGCCTCCTCCTTAGCTAGCATGACTGCTTCGCAGAAGGAGGAGACGGCATCCCAGTCCCCCTCGCTCCGTACCATGGTCTGAACCAGAGCCGGACGCGAGAGGTCGCCGTCGCCGATCACATTCCTGAGGACACGGCGGTGCTCAGTCCACGCAGGACACACCGCCACCGTATGCTCCACCGTGTCCTCCGGGCGATCCTCGCAGTGATGACACCCGGGCGTTTCCTCCCGCCCAATCCGAAACAGGAACCTACCGAAACTTCCGTGTCCGGTAAGCACCTGCGTCAGGCGGTAGGTGAGGACGCCGTAGCGTCTCTCAAGCCACTCCTCAAAGAGGGGACTTACCGCTGCAATGACAGCGAGCCATATAAAGTTATCCTAGGAATCGAACCCAAGACCTCTTGTTCTGTAGTCACACCTGCAGCAACTCAAACAACTATACAATATTCATTTACTGTAAACTGATCAAATGAAATACTTTGCCCTGCCCGGGAATCGAACCCTGATCGCAGTGACCACTTGACCAACCAGCAGAATATTTGAAATGGTCCCAGATATCGAACCCGAGACATATTGCTCTGTAGTCGTACCTGTGGCCTCTCAAACATCAGGGAAAAACATTTTGCACTGTAAGCTGACCAAATAAAATACCTTGCCCTGCCCGGGAATCGAACCCTGATCGCAACCCCTTACTTGTACTGTTAGATGTCGTTGCGTCCCAGAGGGTAATGGCCACACGGATGATCCGTGGATATCGCACGATCTCAGGGGAGGTGGCGAGCCTCCTTGCTATATTATCGTCGTGAGATTTGTAAGTGCTGAACTGCTGGGGCACTTATATGCATGGTTTGTGCTGAGGTGACCAGACGCAGACCCATGCATGTCGTGTTCCGCACACGCCTTAAGGAGCCATTAGATCACCACAGAAGAGGCCCGGTAGGGCTGATGGAGATACGGAGCCGCGAAAGACTTAATGGGTTGCCGGGGCTTTGGCTCGAAGAGTAGGAACGGGGTGGATTTTAGTCAGAATGACACTCCCTCTCGTCTCACTCGGGCGGGAGAAGGCATTAGATGACATTCCCCTTCAGAAAAAAGACAAGTATGTAAGTGTATGTACGTACTTTGTAGCGTCTGAGTCGCAAGGAGGCAGCGGATCTATTAGCCAATGCCACAGAGTATAAAGGCCCATCTTTTCTAGCAAAGAGCACACTCTTAGTGTATAGCTTGTGGCTCTCTTCAAACATCTCCGCTCTGAACTTGATGTTTCCCCGCTGCCTCCAAAGCAATGCCATCTCATCATTCTTCCTGGCTGTATCATCTTCAGACATTTGCTTGTCGTAACTCAGCTTCATCTGGTTGATCCATTCTGTGAAGATGTGCCTGTTGACAAACAAAAAAGTTATTGTTAATAAATGAAATTTTTGTAAATTAAGTTCATTTTTCTACGAAAATGTCATATTGTATTAGGATGCGCATGTAACTAAGTTGTCATATACACGCATATTGTCGTAGATCTATGAGGTGCATATGCATGTGCATCTGCCTAATCTGTCATATGAACATTAACATTGTCATATTGAAACATGGTGCGCATACGCACATGCGCATGTTCAAATGCAATGTCACACTGTCATATTGTAATAGGATAGGCATGGGCATATACCTAATCTGTCATATGAACATTAACATTGTCATATTGAAACATGGTGCGCATATGCACATGAGCATGTTCAAATGCAATGTCACACTGTCATATTGTAATAGGATATGCATGTGCATATACCTAATCTGTAATATGCACTTTAACATTGTCATATTGAAACATGGTGCGCATACGCATATGCGCATGATCAAATGCAATGTCACATTGTCATATTGTAATAGGATATGCATGTGCATATACCTAATCTGTCATATGAACATTAACATTGTCGTAATGAAACATGGTGCGCATACGCACATGCGCATGTTCAAATGCAATGTCACACTGTCATATTGTAATAGGATATGCATGTGCCTATACCTAACCTGTCATATGCACATTAACATTGTCATATTGAACCATGGTGCGCATACGCACCTGCTCATGTTCAATGCCAATGTCACACTGTCATATTGTAATAGCATATGCATGTGCATATACCTGATCTGTAATATGCACTTTAACATTATTGTCATTGAAACATGGTGCGCATACGCACATGCGCATGTTGAAATGCACTATCACACTGTCATATTGTAATAGGATAGGCATGTGCATAAACCAAATGTCATATCCACATTGACAATGTCATATTGTGACTTAGTGCGCATACGCAAATGCACATGTTGATACGCACTACGACGGTCTTATAGTAATAGTATATGCGTAAATCCAATCTATCATATGAACATTGTCATAGTGTCACAGAGTGCGCATATGCACTAGTGCATGTTTAAATGCACTATTGCACTGTCATACTATAATAATTATAGGTATGTGCCTTAACTGTCGTGCAATAATAGAAAATGCATGTGCACATACCGTATCTGTGATAAGAACTTGGGTGTTAGTATGCAAATACGCATGTTCATATGCACAGGCACATGTTCATATGCGCAATCAAATGCCATGCTGTAATAGGATATGCATGTGCATTTGTGCATGTACCTTATCTCGCATGTGAACTGTCACAATGCCTTAGGGCTTATAATTTTCATGCCCCAAATATGACAATTTAAATGACAAATTGTCATACTGTAATAGTGCCCATGTTATCAAAATGGCATATTATTATGAAGATGGCATGTTACAAAAAGGGGTAAGCTGTGGTGAATATCGCGCAGTGACACCACATTTCACTGTTTAAGTGAATTAGTCTTGTGTAATAGGGATTCTGGTGAGTCTATTGTCATGAACTGGGCACAATTCTAGACCCCATTTTATTATATTGAAAAAGGTCTGAGCATGTGACAACACAGTATTTTTACTTTGCATCGAATGATCAAATGTTATATTTTTATCGTGCTAAAGTCACACATTTTTTTGCAAGGGGAATTCATCCAAGTACTTGGAGAAGTACTTGGTGGTGGTACAAGGTGGAGACCTTCGGTTAAAGGTAAAAAAGAGAGTTTCAGACTTTCATTGACTAACAATCACTACCTTCCTACTTAGACAGTCGCACATGCAGTGACTTTTGGCTCTATGGCTTTCTTTGAGATCTCTATCTAACCTATTTCATAGGTTGTCATTTTTTTTAACAGTTATAATATGAACAACTTTATCACAGTCGCTACCCCATGACATTATAGATAGAAAATATGAAGAGAAATATTTGATCTTTTTTTAATTTATAAAGTGGCGAAATAGGTGATGGAACTTTAAAGGTATTTAAATTTTTTGGACATTTCATTTGTGAAAATTAGCTTCAAATTTAATTTTATTCAGCTATTTTTAGATATTTCAATAAGTCCAATTATACCGAAAAGATTTTCAAAATTCAAGTTGGTAAAACAGGGATCAATGTTTATATGTAAAGACAAAGGATTATATCCGATAAGGAAGGTGATTGTTTTATTTTTGGAAATTTACCACCTCAGGTACATAAAGACACGAGAAAATATTTTTTAATAATTATTGTTCCATATAGGAGAAGTTGCAAGTGAAAAACAAGTTAAGAATTATTTTTCGCACTTATGAGCAAGTCTTAAGACAAAAAATGTGTTCTATTTTATATAAGGAACAAATTAAATGTGAATGGAATTTATCATCTACTTAAGACAAGAGTGATGAGAATTTCAAACAGAAATTCATAATTATTTTTCTGGACTTAGGATTTGACTCTGAGCATCAAGATATTATTCTCAGGAAAATTTCCCTGTAATCAGTCAGTCAAATAGCATCAAGTCTATTTTATTTATTTTTGCTGAATAGACAGACACAAAAAGATTTTAAAAATGATCAGATAGAATCGCTAGCTGGCCCAATAAAACAAAACAGGAAATTATTTCCAATATGTTCATTAAATTATTCATCTCGGTGACTTAGAAAAATTTATCCACTATTCGAAACAGTTTAGTAAGTTGCAAAATACAAGTTGGGACTCGAACCCAGAGAATAAACATACAATAAATCGCTAGCATAAAATTAGTAATCATGGAATATTTGATGTCACCTTAGAGATAAATTACAGGTGATAGATAAACATTTGCCATAGTAACTCCAGATGTCTGCACCAGCAACAGATTTTTTCTTCGCAAGGGACTTAAAAACAGTTAGCAGCAATTAGTTTGTCTAGATCCCAGGAGACCTGCGCGAGCTGATATCGATCGCCTTCAGAGTAATTGTGCCGACACTAAATAATGTTAAGATGTACGCACCTTATTCCCTTATGGTTGTAGAAGTAAGTCAGGGCCTCGATAGCGCCATCAGGTCTGCGGTCTATCTTCTTTTCTTCGAAGGCGATGATACACAGAAGAACTTCCCATTGTTGCGCGGGATCTTCTGGCAAGCCATCGCGCTCCATTATAGATCAGGTCTTCACTATATTAGCGAGTCGGCAGTAATACATTCCTGAAGACATCTTCAGTCCAGGCACTAAGTTGATAATAGACTTAGAAAATTCAGCCGCTGGGAGCTCAAGGGAGCTTTGGGAGCCGACGACCAGCCGGCTAGCGCGCCGAGAGATGACTGAGGCTCCGAGAGCCCGGCAGCGAGGATCTGCAGTCAGCTGTACTGGTTATATCTATACACAAATATTGATTTGACGGCTGCGCGGTACAGGGCCGTTCCTTTCTACGCATAGGTTATTCGTAGTGCGCATGCTCGGCCATATCTGCAGAGGCGTGTCCACGCCGCAGAGAGGGCGCTATCCTATATGTAGAGCACGGAATATAAGCACTAGAATGTTCTACCACCCACATCCCACCCCCACATCCAACAGGGCATTATATATTTTTTACAATAATTTCTGTTGTGTTTTTAGTAATCTTTTAAGCCGTAATTTTGACAGCTGATTCAAGTAAAAAAACGTAGGCAGTGAATAACGAAACGTTGTGTCAAAACCAAAACATGCCATTGTGTTTTGTGGTAAATGTCAAAATAGAGAAGAAATTTCAACTTCAGTTCAGGAAAAGTCTGTGTCGCTATTTGACAGAAGAAAACGCGGCAATATTAAAAATAATGTTTCTTTTTCACACAACAATCATTATGTACTACGTAACAGAATAACAATAATTGTATAAAGTAATGAACTCATTACTCAAGAGAACACTGTAGAACTAAAAAGATAATTTTATGAAGAAATGAAGCTATATCGTTATGATAGGTACTTTGATCTGGAAAAATCCGTATTTTCAACACATATAAATAAAATATTTATGTAATTATCAACTTAAAATAGACTTCCTATTAATATTAACTGCATAAAGTCATCAAAAATAAGAAAAAGCCAAGTAAATATAAGAACGTCGAATTTAGTACTGGTAAGATGACAATAGATGGCGTTAGTGTCGCCTTTCGCAAAAATAAACTTACAAATTGCTCGTTCGAAAGTAATTTGTAATAAATAGGTAGTTACCGTTTATTTAACTTAAATTAATTTAACAATGTGGTTTAATGTAACTAGCTTATGGTTACTATTTTTGAATACTTTACACAATTGTTACTAATTTAGTTTGTGTGAGGTGCGAGGTAACTATAAATAAATTCATGGAAGAGTAAAAAATCTTCCATAATTTACCAACAATAAGAAAACAAAGAAACTATAAAAAACAAAGAGGATAGAATGTGCGAGTCCGTCAATAATGAAAATTTGTAATTTTCATGTAGATTAGGTCATCATTCCTATAAGGGAACAAATTTCATCCGTAGGAGTAGGCCCTTTCTGTACACAATCCTTTATTCTCTCTAAAGGGGGGTGGAGGTTCCAACGTGGGGTGGAACATTCTAGAAGGGGGTTGCAATTGCACCTCTCGGTCATTTCCTCACCCTCTTTGGCACCACCGCGACCCGCATGCGCCAACCCCCGCACTCTTCGCCCTTGCACCAAGCCTGCATCGATCTGTTCAGCAACATGTTGCACCATTTTTCCTTTGTTCGAATATGTTTTATGTACTGTTTATGTATCATGCTTCTATTAATATCTTCTACGGACAAAGACGAGTGGGCATGTAAGTAAGGGAACTTTCATAGCGACTTTTGGGACAGTGAAAAAATCCTTCGCCAAGGTATCTGCTGTTTAGTCTTATTAAAGATTTTTAATACAATCTCAAAGACAGACAAAATACAAATGAAATGCGTAATCTGACGCCTTTGTTCTAATACAAAGAGTATGTAGTTTCAGCAGAGAGAATATTTTACAACGTGGCACGTGGTCGCTTAGGGCGTGGTGTCCTTCAGCCCTGTTGACTGCTATCGGCAGTCATCAAAAAATATAAATTATGTTTTTAAAATGTTATGAGCCAGAAGTTTATTACAAATAGCCTTCTGCTATACTCGATGGGCCTTCAAGACACCCAGGTTATATCCTTCAGGAAACACATACTCTGGCAAAGAATTCCACTCCTAGCAGTACGCACAAGGAAGCTTGATGCTAAGCGCTTTGTGCGTGTGTGTGGGACATCCACGATGAAACGGTGACGGTACGCCGATTGTGATGTGGTAACAAATCTTCAATATCTGCAAGCGTAGCATCCTGGTCGTCCCTACTAGCAGTTTCAAGCGCATAGCAACTAGCCAAAGGCGTACGTGAGACGTGAATTAGATACGATGATTACTAAGACTAGAATTAATTTCTATCTTTTGTAATGTGTATTGTTTGTTTTTTGTTTTTGTTTTATTTGATTTCAGTTTTCTTTTAATGTTATTTATAGTACTTAATTAGCTAGTAAGAATAAGAAATGAGCGCTTCTCGCCGTTAAACGATATGTTTGGCGAGGATCTATAATTATAAGAACAACATGATAATCCTAAAATTGTACTTTTGTTAAATAAATAAATAAAAAATAAAAATAGAATTGAACTCATTTCCAGTGCGGTACTACTTCAAACCTCAAACAGTTTCCCCAAATCATTGGATCATAAGATAATTCCCATATAAACATGTAGATAGTAACATAGCTAAATAAAACTCTAACAAAGAAAATATAATATCAAGTACTAACACAACGTATGGATTATATGGCTGAAGGACGAAAGAGCCCCACCCTATACGGCGCATGCGTCCCGCGGTGTGCCGCGCCCGTGCCACGTTACGTAATAATAAAAATACACATTTTTAAATATAATTCCTAAAACAAATTAAATCAAATAATAAGTACCACGTTAATTTAATGGAAGCCAGGTGGCGTTCTATAGTATCTGCATACCCTCTCCTATTTGGAACACGGGCATGAGATTATTTATGTATATACCTTACTCGTGATTATCCATCCATGGTTACCAGTAACTTTGTATTAAAAGTAGCTATAAGTAGGTAGCTTAATACAAACAACGTGGCAACCCTACCTCGTGATTGCGATGAGGAAATTTTTTTTTGATGACTTAAGCCTAAGCCTAAGCCTTTTTTAATTGTATTTTATAAGGTGTAAATATTTACGTTTTAGTTAACAAATAACTAAAATTTTAAGCATATATTTATTCATAATAATTAAGTTATTTAAGTTTATTATTTGTAAATAAGAAGTACAAAATATTAATTAGGAAATTTCCAGAAGCTTTCAACACAGAATAGATGTACACGTGGAGGCAAGAGAAGAGAAGTTCGCGCATGCGTCCTGCGGTCGCGCCCCGGCGTGCCGTAATATATATTTAACTGTCGAAAACTATGTAGGTGGCGTGGGTGAGCACAAAACGTGAATTCGACAAAGGAATAGATTTTCAGATACAAAATTGTTATTATAGAGTAAAGCTAGGTGGCCTTACGTCGACGTACTAGCGTTTTGAGGTTCTGCTTTGTCTTAAGAAGTATTGACTAGAACTTTGCTATTCAGTCATGACACTAGTTTATAATTCGCAGGGATGAAGATATGATAGATACATATTGGAACAAAGAAAGTCACATACAATCTAGCTGTACACCACGAATCGATACAGGGGTTAGAGACGTGAGCGGGCAGGCGTCCACGCCCTGAACGGCGCATGCGTCCCGCGGTGTGCCGCGCTGTGCCACGATATTAAGTATTGAAAGTACAAGTAGGCATTAAACTGTCAAACACCAAGCGGTCACCGGTGACTGCAACCTATTGTTCTATAATTGTGTCTGTAATGACGGTACCCGACGAGATAAAACATTAAATAACTGCTGAAAAAAAAATTAAATCACAGTAATCGCAAAAGACTCATCGTCGTAGTACCGCATGAATGTGATGGAAGATAGCTGGCGCCTAGTAGTAAATAATACTAAATAATACTCCAACAAAGAAATTCGATTATAATATCAAGTACTTACTAAAACCACGTATAAATAGATTACACGACTCAAGGACGATAGAGCCCCACCCTATACGGCGCATGCGTCCCGCGGTGTGCCGCACCCGTGCCACGATACACAATCATGAAAGTATGTACACGTTTTTAAATAGAATAGTTAAAATAAAATTAAATCAAATAATGAGTACCACGTGAATATAATGGAAGATAGGTAGCGTCGTGTAGTATTTGCATACCCTCTCCACTGACAAACGGTGAAGAAAAACATTGTGAGGAAACCTGGGCTTATAATTTCTAATCATAAGTTTATAAATCGCCAACCCGCATTGAGCAAGCGTGGTGATAAATGCTCAAACCTTCTCCGTGTGAGAAGAGTGGGCTTGATAAGCCTACTGCTGAGCAAAGCCTCTGGCTGTTGATGTGATTATTTAGGAAATTTCTCGGGGCTTTCAATTCAGAATACATACACGTGGAGGCAGGAGAGAAGAGAGGGAGCAGAAGTTCGCGCATGCAAAAAAAAAACGCGCCCTGGCGTGACGTAATATATTTAAGACGATAAAAAAAAAAGAATGTACAAATAGGATTTATCTCAAAATAACTGCTGAAAAAAAATTAAATCAAAGTGATCGAAAAAAACGAATCGCGTTAGTACCGCATGAATGTTAAGGAAGCTAGGTGGCGCTCTGCAGTATCTACACGCTCTCTTGTACTTTTAGAACAAAGGCGTATTTAAGTCTGTTTGTTTGTCATAGTATAAATTTTTTTTAGTAGATAGTCAGGCTATTAAACCTATTTTTTATATATTTTTTTATGGAATAAGCCGGTATACGAACAGACGGAGCACCTGATGGTAAGCAATCAGCGTCGCCCATGGACACCTGGAACACCAGAGGCATTACAAGTGCGTTACCGGCTTTTTGGGGATTAGGAGTTTCAGGATCGTTTGGGATTCATGGATTGGGGAGATTGGGGAACGGGAGGCTAATTGGGCCATATACCAAAATTGCTCGGGCCTGCGGACGGCGAGGATGCGTGGTTCCCCGTCCGACCAGAAACAGACCTGAGCGTACGGCGCGTCGCGTTCCGCGAGGACGCAAAGAGCCATCAGACCACCACGGATGGGGCCCAACAGGGCTGATGCCGATTTGGAGTCGCGGAGAACTTAACGGGTTACTGGGGCTCCGGCTCGACGTGCAGGAGAAGGAACGGGGTGGTCTTTAGAATTAAAACCACCCCGTTCTGACTAAAAACACTCCCTCCCGCCTCACCCACGCGGGAGCAGTCATTCGATGATTTGATCCC